GGACGACGCGGGCCTGTCAGGCGCCAGCTCAGCAACATGGCCTGCCGGGATGGTCCAGCCCCCATCTGATGGCAATGCGTGCTCAGTGGTGAGCTGAGACAGTCGGAACAGCTTCCCGTCATGCTTGGCACAGAGGTCTGCCTCTGCGGGGCCGCCTGTGGCAACTGCGCTCGCCTCGGCTCGCTCCGCCGCGACACGCTCACGCTCTGCTGCAGCCAAGTTTGCTGGCTTCGCCTCCGCTTCGGTCGCTGCGGCTCCCTCGGCCGCCCGCTCGTCCGATGGGCGAACAGCCTCCGCCGCTGATGCTCCGGCTGGCGTGGCCGCCCCTGCAGCTGCCTGCTCCCCTGAAGGATGCACCACAGCGTCAGCTGCTGGATAAGGTTCTGCGACAGTCCCCTCTGCTGCTGGACACTTAGGCTCCACTGCTGGTGCTGCTGCTGGTGCTGCTGCTGCTGCTCCTGCTGCCGCTGCTGCTTTGACTGCCGCATCCGCCTTGGTGGGTGCACACTCTGAACACTGGCGCCCAGCCCGGACGCACGCCATGGCAGCTACCTCTGCGGTCGCGTGATTTGTCCGTGCATGCTCAGACTCTGCTCCTGGCAGTGCCGCCACTGTTGCAGCCTCTGCGGCTGCATGAGCTGACTCAAAGAAAACGGCATCGGCACGCGCTTCGTCAACGGCTGCGGCGGCAGGTTGCTGTGGCGCGAGGGGCTTCATCCCCACTGCTGCTGCTGCTGCTGCTGCTGCTGCTGTTGTCTGTGCAGCCGCAGCCGCCTGTGCGGCTGCCCCCCCATTCGCGAACTCCCCGCCCTCTGTGCATGCCGCTGCAGGTGCCACAACGGCTTCCCGCCCTGCCGCCGGGCACTCAGCTTCCGTTGTTGCTGCAGCTGCTTCGGCGGATGCCATGCACTCAGCCTGTCCTGCTGCAGGTGCTACTGCTGCTGGTGCTGCTGCTGCTGCTGGGGCAGCCGCAGCTGCCTCGGCAGCCGCCCACTCTGCTGGCAGGCTCTCAGCTCCGGCTGCTGCTGCTGCTGCTGCTGCTGCTGCTGCTGCTGCTGCTGCTTTTTCTGTTTCGGCTGCCGTGGCAGCCTCAAAAGTCGCTCGCTCTGCGGCCAGGCGCTCAGTCTCCGTTGCTGCCAATGCTGCCGTTGCTGCTTCTGCTTGAGCCGCGGCAGGCACGCCGGCAGCCGCCTGCTCAGCCGCCACGCGCTCAGCTTGGGCTTGAGTCCCCGCAGCTGCCTCGGCGGCCACAAGCTCTGAGGCCGCCCGCTCGGCCTCGGCTGCTGCTGTTGCTTGAGCAGTTGCGGCTGCCTCCGCGGCCGCTTGCTCTGCAGCTATGCTCTCAACCTGCACCGCTGCTGCCACAACTGCCGCTGCTGGGGATGCCACAGGTGCCTCAGTGGCGATCCGATCTGCCGCCAGGCACTCATCGCCCTCCGCTGCTGCTCTGGCACCTGTCGCCGCCTCGGCGGCGGCCTGCTCCGCTGCTAGGCGCTCAGTCTGGGCTTGAGCCTCCGCAGCTGCCACAGCAGGTGTCCGCTGTGCGGCCAGGCGCTCTGTCGAGTCCGCCGTGGTTGTTGCTGTTGCTGCTGCTGCTGCTGCTGCTGCTGCTGCTGCTGCTGCTGCTGCTGCTGCTGTTGCTTGGGCTGCCACAGCTGCCTCGGCGGCCGCCTGCCACGATGCCGCACGCTCAGCTTTAGCTGCTGTTGCTGCCTGCATGGCGGTCGCGGCCGCAACTGCAGCCGTATGCCCTGCGACCATGAGCTCATCCTGCGCTGTAGCCGCCGCAGCTGCCTTCACCGCTGCCCCATCTGCTGCCATGCGCTCAACCTCCTCCTCCTCCGTCCTTGCTGCTGCTGCTGCCGCTTGAATCGCGGCTGCCATTCCAGCCACCGCCTGATCTGCCGCTAGGCGATCAGCAGGCGCTTTAGCCGCCACAAATGCCTCTGCTGCTGTTGCTGCTGCATGGGCCTCGGTTGCCGCCTGCTCTGCCGCCAAGCGCTCAGCCTGCGCTGTAGCCGCCGCAGCTGCCTCGGCCGCCGCCCGCTCTGCGGCCAGGCGTTCAGCCTCTTCTCTCGCTGCTGCTGTTGCTGCTGCCTGCGCCCCGGTTGCCGCCTGCTCTGCTGCAAGGCGCTCAGCCTGCGCTTGAGCCGCCCCAGCTGCCTCGGCCGCCGCCCGCTCTGCGGCCAGGCGTTCAGCCTCTTCTTTCGCTGCTGCTGTTGCTGCTGCATGGGCCTTGGTTGCCGCCTGCTCTGCTGCAAGGCGCTCAGCCTGCGCTTGAGCCGCTGCAGCTGCCTCGGCCGCCGCCCGCTCTGCGGCCAGGCGTTCAGCCTCTTCTCTCGCTGCTGCTGTTGCTGCTGCCTGGGCCTTGGTTGCCGCCTGCTCTGCTGCAAGGCGCTCAGCCTGCGCTTGAGCCGCTGCAGCTGCCTCGGCCGCCGCCCGCTCTGCGGTCAGGCGTTCAGCCTCTTCTCTCGCTGCTGCTGTTGCTGCTGCATGGGCCTCGGTTGCCGCCTGCTCTGCTGCAAGGCGCTCAGCCTGCGCTTGAGCCGCCCCAGCTGCCTCGGCCACCGCCCGCTCTGCGGCCAGGCGTTCAGCCTCTTCTTTCGCTGCTGCTGTTGCTGCTGCCTGGGCCTCGGTTGCCGCCTGCTCTGCTGCAAGGCGCTCAGCCTGCGCTTGAGCCGCCCCAGCTGCCTCGGCCACCGCCCGCTCCGCGGCCAGGCGTTCAGCCTCTTCTTTCGCTGCTGCTGTTGCTGCTGGATGGGCCTCGGCTGCCGCGGCCGCCCCAGCAGCCATCCGCTCTGTGGCCGAGACCTCAGCCTCTGCTGCTGTTCCTGCTGCTGCTGCTGCTGCTTCTGCTGCTGCTGCTGCGTTGGCGCTGACGGCGCTGGCGGCTGCCTCTGCAGTTGCGAACCGCACAGCCAGCCGCTCGTCCTGGGCAAGTGCCACCGGAGCTGCCCCTCCTGTCACGCCCTCTGCTACCAGGCGCTCTACCTCTGGTGGTGCTGCCTCTGCTGCTGCAGCTGCCTCTGCGCGTGCGTGCTCATTCGGCACCCGGTCGGCCTCGGCCTGAGCCTCGCTGTCAGCCAGCTCTGCGGCCAGGCATTCATCCCCCTTTCCGGCTGCCGCTGCCGCTGCCGCTTTCGCTGCTGCGGCTTCCGCACCTGTGTCGCTTGCTGGTTGCTGGGATGGTGAACACACTGGGTCCACCGCTGAAGCTGCCTTGGCGCCTGCCGCACTCCGCGCTGCCTGATCCTCCCCCTCTGCCGGTGCTACCATTTGGGCGGCAGCGGCGTCGACAGCCGTGTGCTCAACCACCAACTGCTCAACCTCAGGTTGAGCCGCAGCACCCTCAGCCTTGGCCAGCAGGCCCTCGGCCGCCGCCGCAGCTGCTGCTCCTGCTGCTGCTGCTGCTGCTGCTGCTGCTGCTGCTGCTGCTGCTGTTGGTCTGGCCGCCGTAACGGCCTCCACGTGCCTGGTCAGCAAACGCTCGACCTCAGCTTGAGTTGCAGCAGCTGCTTCGGCCGCCACGCACTCTGCCGCCGCGCACCCAGCTGCTGCCGGCAGTGCCAACACTCCGGAAGCCTCTGCCAATTCCTGTGTGCATGCTGCAGTACCCGCTTCGACGCGCGCTGAGGCACTTGCGGCCGTCGGCTGTGCCGCTGCATGCGCTGCCTCGGCTGCGGCAGCCTCAGCGGCAGCGGCCGCCTCTTCTGCTTCCGGCCCCGCTGCTTCCTGCCGGGCTGCGACACCTGCTACCCGGGGAGCCTCAGCCCCCACGGCCTCCTGCCATGCGGCAAGGCACTCCACCTGTGTTTGTGTTCGAGCTGCCACCCCAGCGCCCGTGGGGGCGCCCGCCGCTGCCCGCTGCGCCGCCGGCAACTCCATGTCTAGCTTCACTGCTACTGCTTGTCCTTTGTATGCAGCTGCCAAGGTGATTGCATGCTCTGCATTCTGACTTGTCTCCTGGTATTCAAGCACGCTGCTGCGCTGGGCGCCCTCCTCCCCAGCACTGCCCTCGCGGGGCGGACCCGCATGTGGGCGCGCCTCTGCTTGCCGCTGCGCCTCTGGCCGCTGCGCTCGCACACGCGCCCCTGGCTCCGGGGCAGCCGCAAGCGCAGCCGGCGGGGTATTGGCTATAGGCGCAAGGCCTCGTTTCAAAAGAAGCAGCAGCCCGCCGCCAATCTCCCACTGCGGCGCCAGCGGCGAGCCAGCTTGCAGCTGCCGTCCCGCCGCCGCCGACTGCGGCACTGCCACTGCTGTGGGCTCCGCTTCCCATGAAATGTCAGAAGCCCGTGTCGGCGATAGCGGGCGCCCGGAGTCATGCTGCTGCTGCCGCAGCTCTCGGCCCGCGACCGGCCGCGCCGGCGTTTCGTCCGCCTCCGGTAAAAAGCGATCTGTATGCCTCTTGCCCCAAGAGCCCGGGCTCTGCGGCGCCAGGTGGCCGGCAAGCGGGGAGTCAGGGGCGTCTCGCGCCAAAGGGGAGAGGGGCTCCTCCAAATCGACGCCGCCGCCCGCCGCCGCGCCGGCCGCCCGCGGCTGCGCGCCGTCGCTGCTCGAAGGGGTCTGCTGGTGCGGCGGCTGCGGCTGGTGCTGCTGCTGTTGGTGCGGCTGCGCTGCCTGCCACCGCCGTCGCGCGCGCTGCAGCTGCTGCGCGGTGAGGCGCCGCTGGCGGCGCAGGTCTTGCCTGTGCTGCGGCGACGGCGGGCTGCTGCTGCTGCCGCCGCTGCCGCTGGTTGCGGCAGAGCGCCGCGCGCCATCGCAAGCGGCGCAGCTGCGCGACGGCGACGCCGCACCGCCCATTTCAGTAAAGATGGATGGCAGTGCGTCGCCCGGTTGCCCAGGCTTCGGCGACCTGGTCAGCACGGCGGTCAACGGTGGTCAACGGTGGTCAAACGATGAGAGTGATGATCGAAGACGAATCAAATGGAGAAGCCTCCGCACGCGGCGGCCGGGACGCTCCCTCCGCAAGCGTTGGCGGCCACGGCGGGGGCGCTGCTCACCCTGCGTAGTAGAAAGGGTTTGTGAAAGCGGCCTCGGCGTTGGTCGGGGCGGAGGAAGCGTCGCCCACGGCCTCGTCACCCGCTGCCGCGATAGCCGCCATGCTCGCGCTGCTCGCGCTGCTGGCCCCCGCTAGGCTGCGTGCGTCGCCGTCGGGGCCAGCGCCCTCGTCGGCCGTGCAGGGGTACGAGCACAGCGCGCCGGCGGCCCTCCGGGACGCCGCGCCCGCGGGGCTGCGGGCGGCGCCGCCGTCCGAGGGCGTGGCGGCGGGCGCTTCCGCCAGCTGGCCGGTCCTGCGGGGACATGCGGGCATGCCAGGGACAAAAAGTGTTAAGGAGTTTGTTTCGATGCGACGTGTCTTTTGCATGTCTCAACCGCTGCTCAAACGTTGATGCACTCACAATATGATGACGAGTGGGCATGGGACGTGGCTGACCCCAGCAACAAACCAAATCAGCCAACCCGTGCCACGAGCCATCTTGTCAAACTCACCCGAACCAGAAGAATGGGTTTGAGATCATGGGCGGGCAGTCGACCGGCAGGTCGTCCCGTCCGCCGCCACCTGTCGCCGCCGCCGCAGCCGCCCCCGCCTCGGCCGCCGCCCTCGCCGCACCGCGCGCCGCCGCCTCCACGCCGCTGGGGGAGAGCTCCCCGCACAGGCTGCCGTCGCTGCTGGCGCGCGTGAGCGTGAGCGCGGGGCCGGCCGGCCACGCAGCTTCCGCCCCAGCTACGCGCGGGCGCTGACGAACCTGCCGGGGCCCCGACCCCTCGGCGCCGCCGCTCCGCGGGCGCGCGGCGCGGGCCGGCGGCGGCGGCGCCACGCCGGCGGACGACGGCCAGGGAGACTCGACCATGAGTGGCACGCCGCCGGCGCCATAATCGCCGCCCATGAGGCAGGGGCCGACGCTCAGCCGGCCGGCGACGGCATCGAGCTGGTAGTCCAATGCAGAGTAGGCAGTGGTGTGCGGCTCGCGGCCAGACGGCTGCGCGCGCGCGCCTGGCGCAGCGGGGCGTGCCGGATGAGTAGATGATGAGCTGGCCGCAGCAAAAGGGTTGGCTGTCTGATGCACGCGCCGCTGCAGCGCGGCGGGTAGGACAGACGCGAATGAGAGGCCCCGCGGGCACTGCGCACGCACGGCGCCACCGCTGCGATCTCACCTCTGCCGAGCGCGGCCATGATCTGCGCCGCGGCATCCGGGGGTGGCGCCTGCGCAGCGCGGCAGCCATCGGCGGTGGTGGAGGCGGCATGTCGCGGCGCGGCATGCATGGTGCCAGCGTACGCATGCATTGAGACTGCCATTTGCGGCGCCGCAGTCCGCGTGGCACCCTCACCTTGCACTTGCCCAGCGACAGGCCCGCTCCGCTCTCCTCACTCGCGCTCCCGCTGCTGCAAAAGTCTGCGCGCGATGCAGGAGCAGCAGCAGCAGCAGCAGCGCCAGGTTGAAAGCAAGCCAGGTTCATGGTCAGCACACTCATCTCTGCGAGGGAGCTGGTATCTGCCTAGAAAGAATCGTTTTTAATCAACACACCTTGTGCATCTGTCATCTGTTGCCGCTCGTATTCTGCAGCGAGCGCATTGAAGGCGCCTGCTGCGTGGGGGCTGACCGCCCTCGGAGGCTGCATCGTGCAGCCGTGGGATGAGTGTCAAGTCATATGCTGTGTTCAAATGTGATGCAGGCCCCCGTCAGTGCGTCTGTTACAGCTTTGCGGTCAAACATCATCCATTGTATCAGCCCTGGCGAGTCCTGAAACACAATGACATGGAAATAATCTTGAAGAAGGATATTCGTTGATACCCAAGCGTCGAGGGTCACAAGCGCACAGTTTTGCGCGACCGCAGCCTGCTGCTCGACGCCGTGCTGTTGCAGGGTGACACTGAGCTCAAGAGCCAAAAATATCGACAGCACCCAACAGTATGATGTCGCCCGGGGTCCTATCGTCATGTTGCAAGGTACAATGCAACAGAATACGTACAATTCGTGAGCGGATGGGTTGCGACCCGCCAATCGTGGAGGCCACAGCCAGGGGCGATGCGAGGACTGCCGTGCAGCATCCAAGCAGGACCGGCATGGTAGCCACTGACAACCTGCTGATCTCATCACTTCATGTACTTGGCATCACTGCGACGTTGCTTGCGCGGCGGCCGAACCTGGGTTGCGACCACCACGTTGTGGCGAGATCTTCCCCCCCCCCCTTGTTGTTGTGCTTCAGCTTGTCACCTCTGGCGGAACCAGATGAGCGGCAGCGATCAGCAATTCCCCCATTTTTTGTGCCTTTCAACAGCAGTGGCCAGTCACTGTGTCAACTATCGAGCGAGGATGCTGAATAGGTGCTCATGGAGGGCCAAAGCCTCCATGGGTGGTGCTTTTCCCACTCAGGTGGGTTGAGCCATGCGTGTCATTCCAGATATCAAACATACAGCATGATAAGATCCTTGAAGATTAATGCTACATGCTACCTGCATGCGTATGCCATGTCTCTTGCACGACGCCTCTGCTTGCGCAGCAGAGCACACACAGTGCGAGCATTTGGCGGCCGCATCGTATCGTATTAACAGCCTGCTTGTTGTCGAAAGGGTGTGATGTTCAAGCCATAAGGCAGCTTTCGGCAATTTCAAATCAACTGAGTTGTGGACGGCCACCTTGTGGGTGGTTGGGTTCTTCGGCCAGCCGCCGGGCATCGCCGCTGTTGCGTGTGAGGTGACCTTCGCTGGCTCCTGCCAGCCGACAGCCCCGCACACCAGCACGCGCGATAACAGATTTATTTGCCATATTTTCACAAAAAAGGAGTGAACGGCGATGACTGGCCCAGAGCCGGGAGCCCCGGCCTCCCGGCAGCTCCCGTTGAAGCTGCCCGCGGCTGTATGACCAACCACCCCCGTGTGCGCTTAAAAGGCCGCCACAAATTCATTGTTATTCACAGTCAGGCGCTCAAGCTGAAGTTGGACGCTCCAAAGGCCTTGCAGAGCACCCAACCACCCGCCAGCAAGCCGTCACCAAAGGACAGGTGAGGACAGGGGCGCAGCCACCGCAGGGCACCAGAGCGTCGGTCGGCCTGCAGGCCCTGCGTGCCCATCACTCCAGCCCCGCGCCCCACCACTCTCCCGCCCACGCTCACCAAGCAACCGCTCCACACCTGCCCCGAACCCCTCATCGCCAGGCCGCCATGTCGCGCCGCGCCCCCCTCCTGCTCCTGGCGGCCGCCCTGCTCGCCCTCGCCGCCTCTGGCGCGTCCGCCGGCCC